GGAGACATCCCTGATGGGAGACACCCCTGTGAGGGACATCTCTGCTGGGGAGACATCTCCTGATAGGAGACATCTCCTGGAGGGGAGACACCCCCTTGGTGAGGAGACTCCGCCTGGTGGGAGTCATCTCCTGGTGGGGAGACATCTCGTGGTGGGGAGACACCCCTGGTGGGGAGACATCTCCTGGTGGGGAGACACCCATGGTTGGGAGACATCTCCTGGTGGGGAGACACACCTTGGTTAGGAGACATCTCCTGGTGGGGAGACACCCCCTGGTGGGGAGACATCTCCTGGTGGGGAGACACCCCTTGGTTGGGAGACATCTCCTGGTGGGGAGACACCCCTTGGTTGGGAGACATCTCCTGGTGGGGAGATCCCCTGGTGGGGAGACATCACTGGGGTGTCCCCATTGAAAGCATCTCTGGAGAGAACTGGACCCCGCGACTTCGCGAGGAGGGGGAGGACTGTCCTTTTGTCAGAACAGGTGGGACAGGGAAAGCAGGACCACCGGCACCGGCAGGCACCGCGGCTGCCACTGCGCCGGGCTAGGTGCCTGGAATACCGCGGCACCGTTTCCAAGGAGCAACTGGGAGCTGCTCTGCCTCCAAAGTGTTTCTAGCTCATCAGTCAGGCAGTGAACCTGAAACGGAAAGAATGTACTTTGATTCTGATTCCAAAACACATTCTTGGCTTCAAGACAATCATTTTTAAGAAGACGCCATCAGTACTTTCTTCTGTTGTCTTTTCTAGCAAAGTGGGGGAGGGGGAATTCCTGGAATAACACTTAAATTGAAGGATTAGCTTAAAATGGTATGCAGGCAATGTACAACATAGGGACACAGAGGCAAAGATAATTATAGATCCAAGAAGGAATGAAAGAAAATTTGAAGAAGGAACAGAAAGAGGAGGAAAAGAAGAAAATATGTGAGTGAATGGCCAGGTGGCGGGTGCCTGACCCACATCTCCCTACTCAGAAGCCGGCAGTCCCTGTCGGCGACACCGAGGGGGCAGAGGTGGGACCACTGAGCCAGAGCTCTCCATGACTCCGACTTTAGCTTCTTTGAGGGGGGCTCCACTGTCCTGTTCTGTACACACCCATGTCACTGACACGTGGTCATCAGTAGCAGCAAGGGCCTGACGGGACCTGAGATCACCGAGAGGGGCCGGAACTGCCCTGGGCAGAGCCTGCATCCACTGGCAGCAAGGCCTTCACAGCTCCCAGGGCCCATGCCCTGCCACACAAGTCCTCCAGCCTATGCTCTGCCAGGCTCTCATTAACCATGGGCCTCGGTTCCTTGACAGGAACCTGGATTACTTCCCTGAGCTGAGAATGGGAGGAAGCTGCCATTTCCTGTCCCTGGGGACAGTGAGTCTAACTCAGTCCTCGTTCTTATTCTGTTATGGAAATTCAGTCAGTCATAGAGCCGACTGGGAGATGCTCTGAAACGCTGCAGGTGAGAGAGTCCATCTTTGGTTCTTGGGAGAATGCCAGACAGGCCACTGGGTGTGGGTCTAACTATCCCGACCACACTGGCCTCGGTTAATTCAGCATAGTTCTGAAGTATGGTAGCAGTCATCTCAGGAAGAAACTATAGTTTAACTCTAACCCTGCTGTTTGGCTTCTGTACTTATTTGCTTTGTTTAACAATAGAAAAGTTATTTTGATTTTCTGAATTATATAAATCATCCCATTCGATTAAATACCCTATTGATTGTAATGTAAAATCCCATTTGTAGTGGTCATACTGGTCTTAGAAAGCACATTTTCCTTTACCTGGGAAGGACAGCACAATTATCCCAAGGTCAGAGGGCTCCAGTTAACGTGTCCCTGTTGACTCAGTGTTCTGGAGACCCAAAACAAAAACTGTAATTTAGATAACATGCCTAAGTTTAACCCAGGTTCCTCATTCCAGACCCCGAGGGCTCTAGATAATGTGTTTTTTATCTTAGTTATTCTGGTGGCTGTGAGGGGGTTTCTCATTATATTATGATTTACATTCCCTACTGACTGATGTTGGGTTTATTGGTCATTTTTTTAACGTTCTTTGGAGAAATGTTTGTTCAAATCCTGTTCCCATTGTTTATTTGGATTATTTTCTCTTCTTTTCCTAGTTTCTGAAAGTGGAAAAAACAAGATATTTGTTTGGGATCTTTGAAAATACAGTCATTTACATCTCTAAATTTTCTTCTATGTACTGTGTTAGTTGCATTTCATAGGTTTGGCATGTTGGGTTTTTATTTTCTTTCATCTTAAAGTGTTTTCTGACTTCTTTTTAAATTTCTTCTTTGATCCATTTGTTATTTAGGAGTATATTGCTTAATTTCCACATATTCTTAAACTTCCTAAATTTCTTTCTCTTATTGATTTTTAATTTCATGACCTTGTGATTAGATCTCATTATATTATGATTTACATTCCCTACTGACGTTGGGTTTATTGGTCATTTTTTTAACGTTCTTTGGAGAAATTACATGTGCAGTTGAGAAGAATGTACATTTTGCTGTGGTTGGGAAGCGTGTTTTGAATATGTCTAGTAGGTCTAAGCCACCAATGTAAAATTCACATTGTCTGCCATCTAATCAAAAACTACCAAGAGAGCAAAGAAGCAAGATAACATAACCCATAATGAGAAGAAAATCAATCAAAACTGACCCAGAAATAGCACAGATCATGAAATTATTAAACAAGGATGTTAAAACAGTTATTATGATTACATTTCATGTGTTCAAATGCTAAAGATCAGACATGTTTAGTAGAGACATGAAAGGGATTTAATATCCAAATCACACTTAAGAGATGAAAACTATTTTGTCTGAGATTTAAAAACTCTCTCTCTCTCTCTCTCTCTCTCTCTCTCTCTCTCACACACACACACACACACACACACACACACACACATTGGATATTATTAATGGTGCATTCAACATTGCAAAAGAAAAGATTAGTAAACATCAAGACTTAGCAAGAGAAACTATCCAAGAATGAAACAAGGAAAAATGGATTAAATAAACAGAGCATTGATGAATTGTGACAACTTAAAGCACCCAAATATACCTGTAATTATAGTTTCCCAAGCGTGTGGAGGGGAAGCGAGGCAGTGGGAGGTGCTAGAAGAAATATTTGAAGAAATAAGGCCAAAAATTTCCCAAATATGAGGCAAATTATAAACCCACAGATCCAAGAAATGCAACAAATTCCCAGCACAAGAAGCATGAAGAAAACTTCACCAAGGCACTTTATAATCAACTGCTTTAGAATCTGTGATAAAAAGAAAACTTTAAAGGCTGCCAGAAAACAGAGGAACTAAGATAAGAATGACAGCAGATTTCTTACGAGAAATGATGCAAGGTAGGAAACTTTGGGTCAATATCTTTAAAGCACTAAAAGAAATAAACACTGTCAATCTACAATTCTTTATTCATAAAAAATATCTTTTGAAAATGAAGGGGAAATGAAGTTGTTTTCAGATATACAAAGGCTGAAAGAATTCTTTACCAGCCAACCTACAGTATATAAAATGTTAAAGGAAGTCCTCCAGGCAAAGAGAAAATTATAGCAAACAAAAATCTGAACCTACATAGAAGAATAAAAAGCAACAGAAATAGCAATTCCATAAGATTTTTTATTATTTAAATATCTTTAAAAGATAATTATTTGAAGCCAAAATAACAACATATTGCATGACATACAGCACAGAGGCTGGGTGGAGAGTGATGAAGGTGCTCTAAGGTTCCTATACTGCACATGACATTGGACTTTATTAGGTTTATGACATCACAATAAATCCCTTCGTGATGCTGATCATGGTTGACATAGTGGGGACCTCTGTCACACACTGCCAATAGTGCCAGTAGATTGCCCATCCTAAAGCCGACTGTGCCACGCTTTTTCTGGTTGAAAG